CTTCTCTGGATGTGCACCATTCCTTTCAGATAAACCACTCTCTTCAGATAAAAGTGGTGTGGGAATTGGAAGGGAAACAACTGATGTTCTCTCTTCACTAAACTGTATTTTATTCACCCCTTGAAGCGAGCATTCATGACCTGTAAGAAGAAGTATGAACAAATTCAAAGATAGTGACATCCATGGATACATAACGGACCTTGGTAATAAGATCATAACACTTGTATCCCTTTTGATGAGATGGATACCCCTAAAGAATACATTTGGTAGCTTTAACATCAAGCTTGTCCCTCTTTAGACCAAGGATGCAGACAAAACATATGCATCCAAACACCGTGGGAGGTACAGGGAACATGGTTGAGTTGGGATGAACAAGTTCAGTGCAAGATTTTCACTTAAGAAATGAGAGGGCATGCGGTTTATTAAAAAGGCAGCAATGAGAACTGCTTCAGACCATAAAATTTTTGGAACTTCCATTCGTAGTAAAAGAGATCTGGTGACTTTCAACAAGTGTGTTCTTTCTCTCAGTTGTACCATTCTGCTGAAGTGTGTATGGACACGTTCTTTGGAACTCAAACCCTTGATCAAGAAGATAATCTCTGAGTTTGTTTGACACATACTCACCCCCATTGTCAGACCACTAGACTTTAACTTGTGCATCATATTGAGTTTTAACCATTTTGTGATGACCTTGGAATAGATTAGCAACTTCATCTTTGTGTTTTATTAGATAGACAGTTGTAAGTCTAGAACATTCATCCACAAATGTAACAAAGAAACGAAATCCAAACATAGATGCAACTGGTGAAGGACCCCACATATCAGAGTAAAGGAACATCACTCTTTTTATTGATACTAATAGGAAATGAAGTTCTACAATTTTTTGATGCACATCAAAGTGTATAAGGAATGGTGCACTAATGTAAATATACCTGATTGTACAATACGAGACTTAGAGGAGGAAGAAGGGTCTTGAATGGAAGTCTATTGCTTGAGATCCAGGAGCTTTCTTTTAGGAATAATCACCAACTCTTCTTGAGGATCAAAGGAGATGGTATCTTGCTGCCCTTGAGTAACTGGGGCAGTACTTTCATTGATTGTTACTGAATTTTCCCTAGGAAAGATTGGCCTTGGATGTCCAACCAAATCCCAACATCTTTCCCTTGTGTGTCGAGTCTCCCCATATTGGGTGCACTTTAATATGCCCTTCCCTTGTGTGTCGAGTCATCATTTGGTAATAGACTTGGAATAGAGTAGCAACTTCATCTTTATGTTTCATTAGATAGGCAGTTGTAATTCTAGAACAATCATCCAAAAATGTAACAAAACAATGAAATCCAAACATAGATGCAATTGGTGAAGGACCGCACACATTAGAATATATAAGAGAGAAAGGAACATCACTCTTTTTATTGATACTGATAGGAAATGAAGTTCTACAATTTTTTGATGCACATCAGAGTGTATAAAGAATAGTGCACAAATGCAGATACACCTGTTTGTACAATGTGAGACGTAAAGGAAGAAGGGTTTCAAATGAAAGCCTGTTGCATGAGATCCAGGAGCATTATTTAGGAATAATCACCGACTCTTCTTGAGGATCAAAGGAGATGGTATCTTGCTACCCTTGAGTAATTAGGTCAGTACTTTCATTGATTGTTATTGAATTTACCTTTGGAATGTTTGGCCTCGGGCGTCCAACAAGATCCCGACATGTTTCCCTTGTGTGTCGAGTCTCCCCACAGTGGGTGCACTTTAATTTGTCCTCATCAAATGTAGGGTTTCCATGGGTAAGTCCAACACCTCGGTTTCCACCACGGCTCCCAAAACATCATCCAGCTCGATTACCACTAGACCTTATAACTAGAGCGAATCTTTCAGTTTCACTCGTAGACACTGCCATTATCTTGCGTCGAATTCCTTCATATTGAAGAAGGGAGAAAACAGTACCAAGTGATGGAAAAGTCTCGCCACCAAGAACATTTGCCCTAATTGTTTTATACTCTCTACTAACTCCCCTCAAAATATAAAAAATATTCCTTTGTTCCAATCTCTCTCTATGTTCCTTTGCATAAGAACATTGTATGGGCTAATGTTGGTCCCAAAGACCACGTAGATGATAGTCTCCCAATGGCAACTCACCTTGTTTAAAATCATTGATTTGCTGCACCAATTCATAAACCCTAGCAATAATTATTTATTTTTGGAATAGAACTCAAAGACTGCTTCCCATATTTCTTAGAGATATTGCAGTTCATAAGCGACCAATTCATAGTAGGCTGCTTAGAAAATAGTATCCAATCCATAATAGCCATATCTTCAGCCTCCCAGTCTGCATATTTAGCATCCTTCATGTCAAGTTTTTCCACATGGTTGTCAATGTATCCCAGTTTTTTCTTTCCACCCAAAAATAGGCTAATCGACTTGGCCCATTCTAAATAGTTGGTACCATCAAAACTGATTGTGGTGATTTGGGGTTCAGATGCCTCCATATTTGATGTCTATAGAGACATTCTCTACTGTCGTTAAGATCTGGTTACACCCTTAGGTCTTAATCAACAATTGAGATCAAGGTACACGCTTTGATCTTTTCAAATAAAAAGTTTTACAAATCTGGTTACACCCTTAGATCTGATCACACTCCCTTTTTTCCCCAAAAACATAAAAAAACAGCACTAACAGTAGTTCTTTGATTGCGGCATACGAACCCTAACCCATACAACTAGGTTTTCGAATAAATACTTGTTTGGTATCCATAATCATAAAATAAAAAAATAAAAAAAAACTCACCTCCATTGGCACATATACTACTGGAAAAAAGTTAGGGCATGATGACATTATCTAACTGAAAGGATGATGTCATCCCTAAACACAGTTCATGCACACCTTTTTGAAGATCGACCCCCTACTACAATATTGTGCTACACTAACGTGCTACAGTACGTGCTGCAGTAACATGTTACAGTACCATCCTTACTGATCGTCTGGCTCTGATACTAAGTTGGATTAAAGTAGAGAAGAAAACAGTTTGGTAGAATTTAAAGAGAAAAAGAGATGAAAGAAAATAAAGATGATGAAGGGAGAGAGAGAGAGAGAGAGATGTGTGAGAGATAGAGAGATAGAGAGGGGTAGTAAGTAGCTTAGAGGTTACTTGTGGCCTCTACCACTCTTATAACATTAAGTAATAACTTAATCACAACTTATGGACAATTCTACCCTTATTTAGAGACATTAGACAAATAAGGACCACACAAAAGATGAGTGGCAATCTTGTCCATCAAATATAATAAAGCTTATTCTTATTCAAACTTAACTTTATATATATATATATATAAACTAAAAAACGCCTATAGGAGAAATGCTACAGTGTTTCACCTCCGTCATGGACTTGCTATGTCCGTGGCGGCTTATTGAACGGACTCGCAACGGTTCCGCGTGAATTTTTTAACTACCACGGTTCCGGCGGTTGAAAAACACATGCCGTCCGATTTTTTCAGACAGCGATTGGCCTATGGGCGAAATCACTGTAGCATTTC